TTTTTTTTTTTTTTCTCTAGAATTTTTTTTCGTGTGGTTTCAGAACAAGTTAGGAGCGATTTGTGTAGCTAGAGGATCCTCTTGGACAATGCTTTTAATGTGCAGGTTCTTAAACTTGGTGGTAGTACTGGTTACAAACTAACATGAGACCTTACTAATATGCCTGGATAGGATACATTGTTGTGGTTGAAGTTTGGTTCCTGTTGATGATTTGTCTGTTTGTGTGTGTGGAGTGTTTTTATCAATGTGGTTTTGCCACTGCATTGCTGTGAGGCTGTTTTCTGTTAGATAAAATTCTAAGTTTTTTATTTTTTATTTTGTTAATAAGAGTACTGCATACAATCTATTTTTTTTTTTTTTCTTTAAATGCTAATTGGGTACCTATATAACTAAAGAGAAAGAAGTCTATAACTAGACCTACTAATTTTTTTTAATAAACATTATTACTTTATTTAGAATTTTTTTATGACAGTGTTAAATTTATAAGTAATATGTACAATAACATAGTGGTGCGCATAACAATCACATTTAGTGGGATCTACCAAAGATAAAAAATTAATTGGATTTCATTCCATGTCTGTGTTATGTACACATCTATGTATATTTATTTTGTACTTGTAGTATTTTACTAAATATATTGAGAAGACACTCATAAATTTATATCTTCAGTCAAAGAAGTCTTTGAATAGATTACAAAAATCTACAAATAGATTAAAAAAATTATTATCTTTCGTATTACTAAATAAGTAAATATATATTATAATTATATATAAAATTTAATAAAAATTAGTCAATTTATCAACTTTTTACAAATAAAACAACAAATTAAGAATATCCGCCTAAAATTTTCAACTAAATTCACATAGTGGGCAAATAAAACTCACAGGAAATGAGAATAGATTATATATTTTAGTCACCAAGGCTGTAAATGTTTAATTTCTGAGGTAACAATAGTTTTTTTTATACTAATTTATATAAAAAATATTCATTTTTTTCTTCATATTAAATGTAGTAATATAAAAAATTATATTATACTTCGATTTTCTCTTCAAACACCAACTATTTTTTTTAATGTATTACTTGGCAGCCAAATCAACAACCGTTAAAGTCTACTCGTCTAGTCTAGGATTAAATAAAAACCCTCAGTAATTATATCACTATTACTATGTTTTATTACAATCATTCCACCAAAAAAATAACAAGTTCACAATTATTTCAGAAGTTTGATTGAAAGCCTGATGATGGTCAATGCATCTCTTTTCCAAACCTCCACCCTCCAAATTAGTTCAGCTTAGCAACACAAAATGAAAACAGAAAAGAAGATGTGCCAAAACAAAGACAATATTATATGCTCTCGATACAACTCCCTGTAGTCGCAGACCAGTTTTCAGCCTGGCCTGAACAAAAGCCATCAAATCCTGCAAAACCACAAGACTGAAATTAAACAAAAATGACTAATATGAATCAAGACAATGCTGGCTGCACCAAGAGACTAAGTGTTGCAAGGGCTCCATCAAGACCTAAAATATTTCTTACCAAAGAGGATAGCAAGAATGAGAAGAAATATGGATAACTACAAATACTACCCCACTGAGGTTTTAGCTCAAACACAAAATACCCAGTTACCTCCCTAATATGCTTTTTGAGCCAAAAGGAAACCAAAAAAAGAAAAAAAAA